ATTGGTAATTTACAAAGACAGAGTGAAATTTCCACTCAAATGCATCACTAGCGTGGGCAGGAAGAGCCGGAGAGCTGAAGAAGACAAGTTATACTTTCTTAGTGGGAGTGTGAAATATTACAGTTTTTTTCGCAACCGTCAGTTTATTCTGACGCACTTATTTGCCACTTTTTTTGTTTGCTATTAACGTTTTTGACAGATTTTTATTGAAAAATTGAAGTAATGGACTTGAAAACTGTTTTCAGTAGCATTTTTTGAAAAATTTTAAGAGGCTATTGCAGATGTGTTGAAGAGTTTATGAGTACCAACTGGAGCTATGTAGCCTAGGATTGAAGAGCTTGGCAATAATCGCGTCCAGATATGTAGGAATATCCTATTCGCATTACTAATATGGGATGCACAAGCTAATTTCTGAAGGGTCATTATTATTCTTGCATTTTGGCTTTTTTCCTTCATCCGAAGGCTTCTTTTTGAAAAATCTTTACCTAATTAGTTACTGGGAGTAAAAAATGCCATGTTTTTAGCACCTTCGCATGTCTAAAGTGCATGAATTGACAGCGCATTATGGCATTTTCATGTTTTGTGTGGTGTCTTCGCTTAATTTAACTTTTGAACTAGACAAGCTAGGCGGCTTGAGTATCATGAACATATGCCAAATGTGACTACAATTCTAAATATCTGTTTTTGTATTTCCTAAAGTGTAATCTCCAATTAAAACTAGACCCAAGTTTACAACTAGAAAACTGAATATTTCAGGGGAATAGCTCATCGAGTCATCGCAGGCGAATAGCTTGCAATCTCATTTCTTGTCTTGGAATTTAAGATCAATGCGCTGGCTAATTTTTTACAACACCAGAAAACCATATAGCTAATGAAATTGAAATGTCGAGCGATCAATGGTGCTCTGAAACAAGATTTTCAATTTCATTATGTCCTGCTCTTATTTGTGGGATAAAACCAAGAGTCGTTTTTACAAATTCAAATTAGGGCAAACTAGAAATTCGGCCCAAAATTTCTGGTTGCTTTCGAAAGGCCAGATGTTCGGAACCCAAAATACAAAATCCGCTTTGTTTCAATTGCAACTAATTATTCCGGAATACAGCACGTCATAAATTCTCAGTTATTTGCTTTTCATGCGCTAATTCGGTTAAGTATAAATGAACATGACGAAGCCCTCTATCTATCGTCAACGCATTTACCAGCTGGCAAAATCATATTGCAAAAGCCCATAGCCGCAGTACGTCCCTGATTTTAATCGCTATTTGGTGATGCAAATTTGCAGGTTACAATTTACGAAATCAGATGCCGGTTGGCGCAGTCG